CCCCCCCCCCCCCCCCCCTCCTCAAACATCACATAATAAAATATCAAGGAATTTTATGTATGTAGTATTCTTGACTTGTAATCAATCCCTTGAGAATTAGACGACAGTTGCACAGCGGCCATGTTGGTGCCAAATTCAAAGGGACCAACATGGCCGTCGCCCACATATACATGTTCAAATGTACATGCTTCAGAATGCACTATATACAGTGTGTATAAAAGAAGGTAATCGAACTTCAGCGCTCTATTGTACTCACATTACTTGGCGTATGAACAAAAAAATTTAATATTCGGAAATGTCAGGCTTTTTTACTTATTGAATTATATGTTTTTCATGCAAAGTGAAATTCATCAACTTCAGTCCTAAACAGGTTAATTTTCAATGGTTTAGACTCAGCTTTCAACGGTGAAAATATGCGATTCTTACTAACATTTTTTATCAGATTCGTGTTTGCTCATTTGTTATCCATTTCCCATGAACAACATATCATTTGACAGATAAAAGCCTGATCTTTCCGAATATGAAAAAATCTCAGTCATACGCAGACTAATTCAGATGCAATAGCGTGCTGAAGTTTGGTTACCTTTTTTTGTACACCATGTATAACTAATATAGTTTTATAATATATTTTAGGTGCTCTGAATAATAAAATGTACGTGGCGAACGAAGGATGTTCATCCAACGAAATGGAAATAACCTTTCCCTCAGAGGCTCAGTCACAAGACAATTCAATACTGAAAAATATCTTGCTATCACCAGGGAAAATTATTAGCTTTTCCCACTTGAATGCCAAAGGTCTTTTCAGAAAAGCCAACAGTGGTAAACAAGGAAAGACCTTTATGCAGATGGCTGTTTCCGAGTTACCAGCAAGAGGATTTGGAAGGGTTGAAACCTATATCATTTCTGGAAATAAATCGAAGGTAAAATATACATACAAGGATAAAAGTAGACACAATACCCCACTCGCGCAGTCAAGAATGTCTTCTATGGCTCTGCTTTCTTCTTAGTCCACTCCAAAGCTGTACCAAAATTACCACAAGGCAAGTCGGTTGGAATAATTCATCATTCGGAACTGGGTCCTATTTTTAGGATATCACTATATACATAGTTCCCAAATAGCAACACACTTCCTAAATATGAACCACTTAAGTGGTAAGAACCACGTCAAAAGGTTGGCTACAGTTGCAATTAATCTCAAGGAATACGTTGAAGCATATAATAATGATTCGGAACAAAGGTTAGAACACATTTTTTCATTCACTCGTATAATGCAGTATATCGACAATATATGCTCTGGAGAAATCGAATTGACTTCACAGGAAACATTCTCTCATTCTTCAGGAGATTATATTTATCAGTGAAGCCTGTAAAGGTCGAGCAAGATGTATAAAAACACTAACAGTACAAGTCAAAGTGCCTTCCCTATCAATCCGAAGCTTTCGCACATATTTCCTCCAGAATTTTTAGTTGTTTTCAATCGATTTCAGTTTAAAAAGTATCAATTTTTCAACGACAAATTCTAAATACTTTGTTTATGTATATTTTGCAACAATTGCTGATAGTGCGTATAACTCACATTGGAAATCCAAGGTACTATCTCTTGCTAGCCAATTACCGGCCTGAATAAATGGGCAATTCCTGCTTTAGACTAAATTTTGATCTCGGCAAGAAAATAAAATCCATCACCACAGGTAGAAAGTCCATTGAGTAGAAAGTTTGGCCGCAAAATTTTGTAAAATGCGTAACATAAACCCCTGCGCAATTTGCAAATGTTGTATTAATTTGTTTACGCACAGGATTTTGCATCACTTTCGACCCTTGCAAATGTGCTGCATTTCCCCGTGCGTATACAAATTAATACAAAATTTGCAAATTTCGCAGGGCTATATTTTCTGCATTTTACGTTTCATGGCCAAACGTTCCAATCTTACTAATTTTAACATGCTCTTTCTACCTGTGGTGATGGATTTTGTTCTTCTTGCCTAGATCAATGCATTGCACTGTTGGGAAATGGAATTTCCTATTCAATATCATGTGACCATAAACAGCCAATTAAATGGTCAGAATTCAGTAAGGTTAATAATACCTAATAATATCATGTAATAACACTTTCATTTCTATTTTTAGCCAAAAACATGTTTTTGACTATCAAACCAGAAAAGGAAATGTCGTGGTTATCACCAATTCTAAAAGGCGAAGACTTGAAAGTAAAGGCGAAAAGTCTTAATTTTATGACCAAACCTCTGGCTGTGAATACCAAGGCTTTCGGGACTTCCTGAAGTAAACAGACAGGCTAATACATCACCATGCATGGACTTATTCAATTACACGTTGAAACAGCAAGTTCGTTGATGTTAAAACAAACTTCCGGAAATAATTTATACATGATTTTTATAGACAGTATAGTCCTTGTTTACAAGGTCTTCCAAGAAAACCAAAACTATTGTTAGAATTTGAATGCCTCAGCACTGTGCTGAACCCACAAGTGCATATACAAGCTTGACATAAGTAAATTTCAGGCATAAAGAAACCATTTAAAGACTTGCTTTACATTCCCAAGAGCAGAAAAGCGTGCGCTTTACGATATTTTAATTTCTTAATAAGTCAATTGAAAGTCAATATTTAATATATGGACCCTGTCAATTTTTTACGCGTATTTGCGTTCGGCTTAGTGCTTCGGCATTCAAATTCTAACAATAGGTTATTTCAATAGTGTTGCCGTTTTTGGGGGTAATATTATTGTTAGCACAGAATAGATGCACCACTGACAATTTAATAACAACAAACCACGATGAAATATGCAATGTTTACTTGTCTTTTATTAACTCTTTAGTTTCTAAACTTTACACTAGTTTCTTCGAAACTTTACAGTATTGTGATGAGTACACAAAATTCAAAAGAATCAGTCATTCATTCATAGTGTAACGTCGTAGTACTTGTTATTCATACATATCTTATATACAGCTATGTTGTCCAATGTGCGCGCTAAAACGAGGATGGGAATAATCATAGTTTTAAATAAGTTTAGCATATCAGTAGCCTCGAGGGGATACTTTTACCAACAGCTGCCAATCCAAACAAACTTTTAGAAGATGAAAAATTTGGTTGTTAGTGAACTTCTAAGTTGTCGGCGACCCTATATAGCTCTTGCGGTGTCTTTGTGAATTTTAAACTTTACACTATCCTTTGATCCCTAGTTAATTAACTCATATAAAATATTTATTAAATTAACAAATTTTCACATGATTTTTACAAAATTAACTTTCTTTTTTTTTAACTGTTAAATGTCCAAAAGTTTTGATTTTTTATTAAGATTGTTAGTATGTTGTCAGCTTGGTTGTGGCTGAGCAATTTCAATGTTCCCAGCGTCAAAAGTTTGTTTCTTCCTGAATGAACGTGACCATCAAACACATAATATCGCCGAGCGAAGGATATCTTTGAGCGGAGCCAGTTCGTTATACTGACAGCAAGTTTGCGCTTTTCAGCGATTGAAGATGCCAGTACAGAAATAATAGTTAATTCTTTTAACGATTATTGAGTATATTCAACTTGTTACAAGTTACATCTACCTTTACGATATCTTTAGATATATATTTAGTTAGATCCCTCTACTTTACCATTTTAGATCTACCTTTCCTTTGTGAAAGCAGCTACACCCAAATTTTGGCCTTATTGACTTTTTCTTTCTACCTTTAAGATATTGGCATGAATATCTAGACATGTTATTTTTCTATTTTTCTTTTAGCCGCCAACATACTACGCAAACAAACAAACTTAGGCTTAAATTAAAGCTAAAAAAAATTCTCTACAATATTCCCTTATTCTTGAAAAGAGAAAATGCACACATTCTGCGAAAACATTGCCAAGATTAATATAAACCTGCCCGTGCCGAACAAATTTCGGCGGCCATCTTTCTTTTCTTGCACTTTAAATACAGAATTAATATTCCATTTTCATCAAACAAAATAAAAAAATAATAATTATAAAACAATTAAAAACAGTTAGTTTAGTTTTTATTTACATTTTTGTCAGAAATTTGTTCAAATCGCTTCATAATGGCCGCCGCTGAAACATCGATCTCGAACCCACCTCCTAAACATACGTCAGCAGGTGGGTTCGAGATTGAATGCACCTCCTCGTAGCCAATAGGAAAGCCGCTAATACGGTAGTTATGAGATAATATAACAAACGTACTTGCCGGGAGGTGAGCCCGGGATTGGACGCACCGAGGGTGGCTGGGAGTTTACCGCGCGAGGTGAGTTCGGGAAACTCCCAGCCATCCGAGGTGCGTCCAATCCCGGACTCACCAAACATTAAAAAATAAAATATTAAAATATAATAAAATATAAAAATATAATAATAAAATATTAACTCATTAAGTCTCATTGCGCCCCGGAATTGGGAACGGGGTAAGTCTCATTGCGCCCTGGATGACACGTCAACTTCCGGGCACGATTGTCTAGCGCGTGTTTATCGGGTTGCCTAGCAACGGTCACGAGTATAAAGTGCAAAATTCGGGCTTTCAAATGATACATCATGCGAGAAAATCGATCAAAAGGTTGCGAAAATTTTCGATTTTAAAACTCTATTTTTTGGCAAAACCTGTGACAACCGCAAAGTGTCACAAGATAGGACTTTGCAGCAAGTTTTAAGGATGAAAAAGAAGAGGTTTTTAAAGAGTTTTACATATAAAATATATTGTAAAACATAAGGGAGTGTGCATATGTTTCAAGTCAAGTTCTTGTCCAAATCAAGTCGCGCGATTTTCAGCCGGAAAAACAGCAATTTCTTTCAATCTAACAGAAAAGTGAAGTGGGAAATCGCAAGAAACATGAACACTAAATCCAAGTGAGTAGTTACGATTTTTTTGAGCGTGTTTTTGAATGAAAATACCTGGCATGTTTTCATGAAATACGATATAGCATTAAAGCAAGTTCAATCTAGTTTAAAACTAAGTTTTTAGAAGAACTTTTCGTGCATTTTATGGCTTGATTTCGACTGTTTTCGTGACCCTACTGTTGGTCGTCTTGCTCAAGTTGTTATTTTAGCCGAAGTACTTTCAGAAGACAGTAGGTTCAACTTGTCATGTGCGTATATACATTTTTGGCAAGAAAAATTTCGAGTAAAACCGCATTAAAACTAAGTAGAATACTCTACAATGAATACTATATCTGTTTCTATGAACTTTGTCTCGAAACGAGCTCTCATTTCAGAGATAATGTGGTTTAAAATCAGTGTATTGAATTATGCCGTTACTTGGCGCGTGCGAATTCTGAACCTTCATGACAGGGATTTGAAAAGCTTCTAAAATACACTTTATTGCTTCATATATCCCCATAAAAATTTTAAATCAATAAAGCACATCATAAAACTAATGTACGCTCATTTTCTAAGAAGTACTCATCGATTACCTGAAGGAAAAGTTTAAAATAGGTCAGGAGAGCAGTTTACAAAATGCCGTTCTCCTCTGAAATGGCTTCTTTTGCGGGAAGCCATTAAATTTATGTACTTTCCAAAATTGTAATTTAGTCGCTTTTTTTGGTCTCATTGTTCACTTATTTATCATGGAATTACTTCGCTTGAGCTCTTTTAATAATATCTGCAAGATACTTTGCTATTTGGTGAAATAAAAGCTATATTTTTAGCAGTTTATCTTTTGAAAACTGCATGCACAACAAAGTGTCACCAATGTGTTTACTCTCGTCTGACAAACAACCAAAGATGAAATACTTTATTTCACTCTTTTATAGCGATCTAAAATGCCTAAATATTAGATTATTCATTTTATTTGAGCATACATATTATATTTTTATACAATTGGTCCTTGAAAAGGACTTATTTCAAGCTAGAGTCAGATTTCAAACTAGAGTCAGATTTCAAAAGAAACCGCCTGTCTGACATTTTACAGCAACCTACATTGGTGCGCACGACGTTTTAGCCACAAATCCGTTGTTTTCTCAACAGAAACAAAAGGAATTTCAGTTAAAATTCTTCCATGATGAATATTCAAAAGTGTTTATCTCTTTTTGACGACTTTCAGTGCTCTTAATAGCGAAATAAAAAGCCTTTTGTTTTGTCACCGCACGCTGCGTTTGAAAATGCCGGCTGTCAAAGTCAGAATTGAAAACACCTCAAATATTTTAAAATTTTCTCACCTTTTTCATCCTTTGTTTATATTTTAATTAGTAATTTTTGTACTTCGTGTTTTTCCAAACATATTTGAGCTATTTAAAAACTTCAAAGAGGTACAAACACTGTATTTTTGGGTTACAGAGTTTTTGGACTTGAACAACAAGTTCTGAAGTTCAAGTTCTCCATTGTAAACTAGATGTCCTGAGTGTGCCTGAGCTATGCCCAAGCAAATTTTTATAGCGTTTCATTATTTTGTAATTTATACCCTACAAGATGAAAACTAATTTGAAAATAAATGTGTACCAATCCAGGAATCAAAAAATATTTCTCCATTTATGTTGGGTTATTGAATTATTGCCCTTCAGATGTTGGGTGTCATGAAGAAGCAAAATGTCAGAGACTTAAATTTACACAAACCAAGAATTCTCACCCAAAAATCTAATGATATATTTAAGTGTGGGAGCTCATTTAAAATAGAATTGATTAATAATTTATCATTTTAACCCACTGCAAAATTTCAAGGTTTTTTATAACATTGATCTTGAGATATGGGTATTTTTGTAAAAGCAGTTGACAGTAACTAAAATTCGCCATTTTCCTTGCAACTTGGGGAGTGCCAATGTTGCAACAGTCTGCAACTTAATGAGTTAAATATTAAACATGATTATCCTTAAAAAAAAAAAGATCAGTGGATCCAAACTCCATAAACTTCCAAGTTAGGAAATGTAAAACCTCTATCTAACCAACAGACGTATGTCCAGGATCAATAACCGATAAATCTAACTCTCTAATAACCTTTAAAAATCTCTCAATTAAATATTACTATACTGCATGAGATAGGAATTTATAATGTGGATGATCCTCGGTCGTGAAAAACAATTTGCCTCAAATGTAACCAGGCCCGGACCTAACCAAACCTATTGCATGTTGTTTTTAAATTAGATCTGTATCTATATATACATATGTGCTTGTACATTTACGTTTTGGGATTACAGTAATTGGCCTGAAACTGTGATTTCCTGTCACATTTGTAATGTTATATACTCTATGTAATTATTGTTATTTGTCATGTATTCCTGTTGTGACAAAGCTTGTAAAATTAAAAAAATATAAGAAATGGTGAACTAATTATGTTTTGCCGAAAACGCATTGCATTAGGAATTACAGTGCTCCATTAACAATCCCCCTTTAAAATCATACCTTTAAAATTATATTATAAAATTAAACTTCAGTCTAATATGTATATATTGTAAAAGTACACTTTTATTATATTTAACATTCATAAAGTATTATATTTGCATATACTGCATACTATTATTAAGGCAATTAACATTGTACAAACATATATGTAATTTATAAAATATAAAAACAAGCACCGATACAACGTTCAAGAGTTTGGGACTTCTGCGTTCCTGTTTAAATTCAAAAGGAGTTTAAGGGAGAAACTATTAGGGAAACTATTACTTAAACATAGAAACTATTACTTAAGCATGTAGGGCGTCAACACGACGGCAACCAATACAATGAGTCAATGAAAACAAGTAAATAATTAATTAAAGTCCCAAGGGAGTTTCAGACGTACTCGTTGCTCTGTTTACACAAATTATAATATAAGACAAGTTTTCTAAACCATTTATTTGAAGGAATTTGTTTTGGCCGTCGTCCTCGTGTTGCCGTCCTACATGCTTAAGCTCCCTTTTGTTTTGCCTATTCTTAACAATGGTCTGATATGAGTGTTCAGTTGGCAGGGAATTTCAACCGGAACTCCCAGACTCTACACCCTTGTATAGTGGAGCGAAATCAATACAAACACTCGCAAATTGTAAGGACGTTTACTTCACATTTACAGCTGTATCTGTATATTTACAGCTTTTTAAGCTACTTGTTGACATTGATAAAAATGCTTCATCTACTTAAAACATCACAAATCTGAATTCAATAAAGCTAATTTCAATGTAATACAGTAAAATTCCGCGTGTGTAAGAACCTATAATATTTTCTTCATCAGACACAAAGTTTTTATACCTGTACAACATACTTTCTAATCACACGCATACGAAGGCGTTCTAAATGGCAGATTTCACAATCTATCTTATTTATCTGCTAGGTTCTCATACGCGGGATTTCACTGTTGTTGTTTACATCATATGATGTATTAGTATGCAGTATGTCTATGTATTGCGGACAACATCATCATTATGGTTATCCAAAATGTACAGCATGAGAAAAAGGAATCTCCACCGATTCATGTGTTTTGTAATATGGCAAAATCGCGACAACCATGAGAAAAGCTGCTCACACACTTCACTGTTAACATTCTAGAATATAGAAAACTGTATATATAATATAACTAAATAATATAAATATACCAGTAAAAACAAACAAGGTAGCCTGCGAACAGGCTCACTGGGAGAAAGGTGAGCCTGCACGAAACCATGCGTTTTATTCAATCATCCCCTTTTCGTATCGGCTATTAAAACGCGAACCAATGAACGTCGACTGCGTTAAATAAACTGTCAAATTAACACAGGGCGTACAGAATATATTAAATATACAATTCTGCCATAACATTGTTTAGTTTAAAAACATTTCCAAGCATGTTAAATACTCTGTCGTGTTGATGTTGATCCGCCATCTTGTTTTAAATTTGCAAACTCGCAATGCATTTTGGGATTGTTGTTGCCAAATGAAACGATTGTTGCCAAACCTGAGGTCATTGTCAAATGATGTTCAGTGCAGTAATAAATTTTTGTCAAACGAATTTTTGTTAGTAAAATGATAGAGTCACATGCATTTGCCCACATTTGCTCTTAATGGGTTTAGCAAATCTTTATACCCTTGCCAAAGCGATTATTTATAAGGTTAACCTACTTCACAGACTGAGGTATATATTCAGTGGTCACAGACTATATCAATCATAATATTTATACGCCATATTTTGTAAATAAAAGAACAATACACAAAAAATCGTTAAATCATAAATATTACCTTTTCATCCGTTTGGGTTTTGATTTATCCACTATTACTTTCCCTTTATGATACCCAAATCGTCTATTATAGGAAGCTGTGTACGTGGAAAAAGGCACAGCACCAACCATCAACAAACTTGAACACTCACGCAAGAGACAAATATCAAATGCTGTGTCCTCTGAGGATAGCAGAAATTTTAATTCCAACGAATCCTTATCAAAATATCTAGATCCTTTCTCAGTCCAGTAACCATAATGCTCATAGATCTTGCACTTTCTGCACACTTTTGTAAGCCGACAACTGACATAACTCCCGAGATTGATGTGATAAAATACAACCATGTTTTTTTTTTGCTCAACACTTAAAGGCCTCTCACACTTGTGACAAATAGTACGACTACTAACTAAAATTGTTCCCATAGGCGAACCACAACTCAAAGTAAAATCATGAAACTCTTTAAACGTTTTCTTATAATCGGTCGCAAGAGAAGGGTGCAAATAAACCAAGCTGCTCATCTCACTTTTAAACCGTTCCTGTTGGATTTTCTCGTCTTCGTTGTACCCATCAGATTCTATTCTTCTCTCATTTCCAGCGTTCTCCCAAATCACATAGCGCTTAACTACATTGCATAAAGAACTAAGGGCTAGGAATCCATCTCAAACCGTTTGAAACACAAAAAATACCTTGGACAATAATAAATTGCTGCCCAGATACGACGCCATCTTGAATTATAAATTATTGCATTGACCGAGTGAAGTGAGAGATTGGGCATGAAAAATACGATCCGTAAAGCCATTTTACAGTTCGTACGGACCGTACGATCCGTATGGATCGACAAACTTTTCTGGCCTGACTTAAACACCACATCACCTTCGACAAAGCATGTTCACGATCCGTAAATCATATTCACGATCCGTAAATCATATTCACGAACCGTACGGACCGTACGATCTGTAAAGCCATTTTACATTTCATACGGACCGTACGATCCATAAAGCCATTTTACAGTTCGTACGGACCGTACGATCCGTACGGATCGACAAACTTTTCTGGCCTGACTTAAACACCACATCACCATCGACAAAACATGTTCACGATCCGTAAATCATATTCACAAACCGTATGGACCGTACGATCCGTAAAGCCATTTTACATTTCGTACGGACCGTACGATCCGTAAAGCCATTTTACAGTTCGTATGGACCGTACGATCCGTACGGATCGACAAACTTTTCTGGCCTGACTTAAACACCACATCACCATCGACAAAGCATGTTCACGACCCGTAAATCATATTCACGGACCGTACGATCCGTAAAGCCATTTTACAGTTCGTACGGACCGTACGATCCGTACGGATCGGCAAACTTTTCTGGCCCGACTTAAACACCACATCACCATCGACAAAGCATGTTCACGATCCATAAATCATATTCACGAACCGTACAGACCGTACGATCCGTAAAGCCATTTTACAGTTTGTACGGCCTGTACGATCCGTAAAGCCATTTTACAGTTCGTACGGACCATACGATCCGTACGGATCGACAAACTTTTCTGGCCTGACTTACACACCACATCACCATCGACAAAGCATGTTCACGATCCGTAAATCATATTCACGAACCGTACGGACCGTACGATCCGTAAAGCCATTTTACAGTTTGTACGGACCGTACGATCCGTAAGGATCGACAAACTTTTCTGGCCAGACTTAAACACCACATCACCATCGACAAAGCATGTTCACGGTCCGTAAATCATATTCACGAACCGTATGGACCGTACGATCCGTAAAGCCATTTTACATTTCATACGGACCGCACGGATTGTGTTCAATGTTTCACCATCTTTACGATCCGTATACGTTTGACAGTATTAGACAACCATCAGCGCGCGGGCTAATATGTTGAAACTTCCGGTTAGTGAAGTCATGTGATCTTTAGACGACACAAAGAAACATTGTATGCAAGAATGCTCTATTGATTAAAGCAATACATATTCATATTTCATACTTAAATATTCGCAAACACATCCTTCGAACGCGTCAAGAAACGAATGAAAGGTTTGCAAAAAACAATATTTTTCTTTGTGAACATCACTTCGAAGCAGAGTGTATTGATTCCTTTCCCTTCACCGACAAAGATGGTAATGAGAAAACACGAAAACGATTGCAAACTGGAGCAGTTCTGACGTTGAATTTGCCAGTCAAACAATTGGATACGTTGCCTGGCACTTCGACGCCGCAACAAAGAAAAATTATTGTTCGCCATGATGAGCCATCAACGTCTTCTGGTGTGTCTCAAACCCCTACTTTCGATGATTTAAAAAAGTATTTCAAACGCGACTATCGGTATTTGCTTGATTGGACTACTGATGTAACAGACAATGTTATTATCGTTGAAATGCGTGAACCAGGATACTTTATACCGAGATACCATCTTGAAATTGACGAATCTTTGGAACTAACTATTGCCGTTTATGGAGCTACAGTGCCAAATAGTTCTGTGTTATTTCCCGAGAATAATTCTCGCCTGTGCAGTAAATTCAAAGATTTGCATAATCTGTTGTGTGGCCTTCAGATCTGTTGTGGAGTTTCTGTCCTTGAGAATGAGCCCAGTGTTAGTGAAACATTCTTGCATGTAACGCCATTGGTTGCTACCAAGCAACAGTCTTCTCCAGTGAATTACTGCCAAACAAGAAGATCCATCAAGTGTGAGATACTAGTTGAGCAGGGGAACTGATAAATGTAAGCCGTGCTGTAAATTTGAAGAGAAGAAGTCACAACCTAAGCCTGCCCTTCCTGCGAAAGCCAAAGCACCCCTGACTGCATGTTCTTCTGCTAAATTACAAGCAACAATCCGAGAAGAGAGAGTTCAACTGAAAGAGTCGAAACTGAAATGCATGCAGCTAGAAGATCGGTTGAAAAGAATGGAGGAGGAAATTAGTTCTCATGGTGTTACACTTGATGATGATGTCAGCAATTCCTTCCTTGCAATCCTTGACCAAACCAACCTGCAAACCTCCCCACACATGAGGCTAGTGTTCGAGCAACAGCAGAAGGCAATGGGGACTAACAAGCATGCTCAGAGATGGCATCCACACTTTATTGAGTTTTGCCTCTCCATACATGCAAAGTCCTCATCTGTCTACAGTGAACTTAGAAAAAGTGAAAAGAATCCAGATGGAATCCTTTACCTTCCCCATGAGAGAACATTGTGTGACTATCGTAATCACTTTAAACCTGGTGCAGGTTTTGTGTTTGAAAACATTGAACTTTTGAAATCAATAACAAAGAACTATGAGGGACCTGCCAGATATGTTGTGTTGGTGTTTGATGAGATGAAGATAAAAGGAAGGCTTGTCTTTGACAAACACTCAGGGAAATTAATTGGGTTTACCTCTCTTGGTGATCCTGATTTAGACTTCTCAACATTTGAAGAGCTGGAAGTAGCAACCCATGTACTGGCATTCATGATTAGAGGTGTGCAAACAACTCTAAAATTTATGCTTGTGTACTTTCTAACACAAACAGTGGTGTCATACCAGCTGGCCCCGATTTTTTGGCGAGCAGTTGCAATTTTGGAACTAAATTGTGGACTTCATATTGTGGCAGCAACAAGTGATGGAATGTCAGCAAACCGAAAATTCGTCCGATTGCACAAGCATATCTCGGGTGAGGATCCAGACGTGTTGCTGATAAACAAGACTATGAGCCTGTTCGCACCACAGAGATCTATTTGGTTCTTTGCAGATGTACCACACTTGATCAAAACGACAAGAGGTATGAAATATTATTTTGGACATAAAAGAGTAATTTATGGTCCAATCTGCAAATGTGTCTTGCTAACCCAACACCTGGGGGGAGGGTGCATGACAACCCCCAGTGTCTATCTTGTCGGGTATATCCATACAATTTTGTCAGGTATTTTGAGTGGCTTGGATTAAAAAGTAATAGTTGTAGAAAACAATTTGATAAATTTACAAAAATATTACTGAAAAATTTTATTGTGAAAGTTAGTAAAAAAGTATTTTTGCAATTTTTTTACCACCCCCCACTCGCCAACAATTTTTACACCGCCTACCAACAATTTAGGGAAAAGAAATATTAACCCTTTAAGCGGCAATGCACCTAGATGCATGCTACTTTATTATTTTACACTAATGTCATATTATTTTACTCTGTCTAAGTCTAACACCAGACAATTTTACTCGTCAGGGGGAGAGTGCTGCCACTCAATGGGTTATGTTTGTCCATTGGGAACAACTTTGGCCACACCCTTTTGTACAGGCAAAACAAGCTCACATAACCCCCAGCCGTAATACTGAAATTTCGTCCCTGCACTCGATACTTATCAAGAGTTGCTGTAATGGGTTAAAAAGAGTTCATCATTCTTATAAATGTCATTTTTGCATATGCTATTTGTAGATGTAGAATAGATGTGTACTTGTTGGAAATCATGCTCCAGTGGCATGAAATAAACAGTATCCAGACATTGACATATATTAAATTTTGGGAAATGGGTTATTTATTCAAGAATCAGTAGCTACATGTACAAAATTTCTTAATGGATACTGTTAAAAAATTACATTTTATGTCCTGGACTCCTGGTCAACTGTATCTAATGGTCTTGTATCCAGAGGGAATGTTGGAGCACGACGTAAGGAAGGAGAGTCGAGGTGGGCTACCATCAGGGATGAGCCTTTACTGAAAAAGAAAAAATAAGGGACTTCTAATATGGGGAATCATAATGATTTCACATCTTTGACACCTGACACTTTCTATTACAATTATATTAAGCACTGTTCAATATAGTCCCATAGGTTTTAGCAGTCAGTATAAAATTTAAAACAGGACAACTATTGTATAATTCAAATTTCAGCTTCATTACAACATTTTGGCTAATAGGGATTATGTAGGTTCACGTCATGCCATTGTTTTCACCACTGGGCATCACTTTGGTATTAATAGAACAAGTTGCACCAAAATGAGGCTTGGTGGCAAGGTCAGTCAAAACATCAATTTTGTAATGTTAACCTGCATAATGTCATGATGTATAACTCTACTCATGGCTTTCACATAATTTTAGTGATGCACCAATCAGCAATATGGAAATTCACCGATATTCTGATAACAAATGTTGAAGGACTGGTATTTTGCCGATACTGATATTCTATGTCATTTCACAAAATTCAAAGATGACATCATGTCGAAAATATTCATATTGCCACAAATATCGATCGACGTTATCTGGAGTAGGTGGGTGGGTGAGTGAAGAAATAATGTCGATTCAACATTATTTGTGGCTACATGAATATGGACGTAGCCCCTAATATAACAACTGATAAAATACTCACTAGTTCAGCTAATTTGCAGCTACTGGCTTTTATCTACAGCTGACTCTGCCTGTTTCTTTAATGTTTATCGCAGGGCCCTTTTATGGAACTTCACCTTCTCTTTAATGGTCATTTTTGTTACAACATCCTTTGTGTAAGAGAATGATCGCACCCGAATGTACAACATAATAATGTTCTCTAAGCATACATCAGTAACAGATGTCTTGCTTTTAGCCAAACTTGCATCAGAGAGGATGGCATCCCATGCTGATTTAACTTTGGGCTTTTGCAAAATATCTGCTCTGACCTGCTGTAGCGGAATTGCATGTACCAAACCAGCACTGTGTTGCCTGAACACCTTTTCACATTCAGCAGTTATTGCCAACAGATTCTCACAAGGATTCCATAGCTTTCCTCGAGAAAGAGAGTATGTATTCATTGTCTTGCAACGACTTCGTGCTCAGCAGCAGGGACTGAATTTCCAATTGCTCTGGAGTTTCTTTCCTGGCAGAAACTTTACTTTTTCGATACATCTTCGAAATAACGTACCCAGCAACATAGGACAATGGGCCAAATTCCGATTTCTCTATTGCCTTTATATCAGGAAGCTTTTCTTTAATATTTCCACGCTTGTAGAAGCCAACAAGTAAATCAGGGATTTGGATCATGATAAGATTATATGCAGGAGCAGTCATATTCTTCGACTCCATTTTAAACATCCTCCCACTTTCCGGCAAAAGCTTGTAAAAGTTTTTTAAGAGTTCATCTCTATCCAACTTTTTGCAATATTGGTCGTACAAAGTTGCCAAATGCTTCACAAGATCTTTACATGCCTTCAGGTCAGCTTCACCAAACAATTTCGTCATTGCGTCCCCATACAATTTCGATTTTACGACGGACTGTGTTGCTTTGTCAACGATTTCACCAGCAACCTCCGAAGTCAATGGCGAAACAGACTTTGTAACGGCTGTTTTCTCGCCATGCTTTGCCCTTGTATGTAAAGTAAGACCACCTTTCGACTTACAAATCTTCGAACAAAGCCCACACGGAAAACTTTTAGTGAGATTACACTCATCGACTCCCTCGTTAACACACTCTTCCAAGTCGATATTCAGGTCGCTTTCTTCTATCAATGAACTCACAACCGCTTCCATAACATCTCCTTCATTGCTTGAGCTTTCTTCACAATACATCGTCAAAATTCAAAAGATTCGACTCGAAAACACTTAAAAAAACGCAGAATCTTAACCTGATACTATATTATTTTAAGCATCTGTCAACACTCCGTGTCGGCTTAAGATCATGTGACTGCCAAATTTTCATAACAATAACATATTCTCACCCCAAGCCCCCCTTTCCTATCCTTCCCTTCCACCATCTATGATCAGCCGGACAAATTCATACCTGAAACAAGCACTGTTTATACTTTCAAAACAACTGAACCTAACAAGGTTTTTATTGCTATAAATAAACTAGCTGCAACTAAAGCTTCAGGAATTGACAAACTTCCTGCAAAAATTTTAAAAATGGCATTAGCGTCTATCTTCAATGTATCTTTAAAGAATGGCATTTTCCCAAATGACTTAAAAGTGGCCAAGGTGTCACCTGTCTTTAAAACTGGTGATAGAAAAGATAGAAGTAATTATAGGCCTATTTCTGTGCTTCCTGTTGTTTCAAAAGCTTTCGAAAAGCTAGTTTTGCACAAGTATACGGATATTTTATGAAGGAAAATATGTTTTCCGATCACCAATCAGGTTTTCATCCTAATCATTCTACAGAAAGTCCCTTGCATAAATCTGTGATGTACTGGTACAAACATACAGACAAAGGGGACATTGGCATAGCAGTTTTTATAGATTTGAAAAAGGCATTTGATACTGTGGACCATAATGACATGGTATTATTGAATAAACTTTTAAGGTTTACTAAAACGTTTACGGGATAAACTTCAAAAATTACAAAATCGAGCAGCTCAAATAATTACTATAGCAGCAACTACAAAATACGCTCTTCCCAAATTTTAAATGACTTAAATTGGCTGACACTAGAAGATAGGCAAATGAAACAAAAATCTTGTCTAATATTCAAAGTGTACCACAACAAATTAGGCGCATCTTATCTTTCACAGCCATTTAATTGAGCGAATTTAATTCACAGTCATGGTACACGAGGGTCATGACTACAATTTTGTTATCTCCAAACCAAACACCAATTTTTTGAAAAATAGTCTCGAATATAAGGGAGCAGTGGTATGGAATTCAATACCAATTGAAAGTAGGAATTTCACTTCCCTAAAAATATTCAAAAATTACTTGTTATGTCTATAGCTTTAATTTCTCATTCTGCTTGTAAATATTGTAAATAATTCAAATGTCACGGCACCTGGGAAGATCATCTTATTTTCGTTGACAGGCCTCCTTGCCTAAATAAAGTTCACTATCACTAGAATTTCTGCATGAATACCTAAAATCTTATAGGAAATTACGATAAATTATTTTCTTATAGGAATTCCTATAATAATTTGGAACTAGATACATAGATACATACATAGATATAAATTCTTATAGGAACTTTTCCTATTAAATTCTTATAGGAATTTTTCCTATAGGAAATTTTTGAAAGGGATTGCATGTGTGCTAGACATGTGTACCCTGTGTACCTTAGTAATCAAATAGAGCAGATGCAGAAAAGAAATCTCCAAGGTGCGCATTCAACCCGATATCTTGAAGCATAGTTAATGCTTGAAGGGAAGCATGCCATGGTGGAAAAGACCGACTAAACTGTACGTGCTATAATTAATTTATAATCCACAAGCAATTTTTCATTGAAAATAAGAAACAATCAACAATTAATACTGAATAATCGCAAGATAGCGCACTATAAGAAGCTTTTATTTATCAGCAGTTCAAAGGTCAGCTGTCGCGAATGATACAATACTTATTGCTATACAAATAGCCAATTATTACATAAAAACTGAATAGTATACCGACTTCTTTGCATTGTATATTCCAAAATAATCCTGTCGCTCATATATACTATATTTTGATTTGAAGCAAACGCCCGAATTCACTAAAATACTCAGACAAGGGGCGCATATTCTAACAGACGCATTACTGACAGATCGCGCATGCAATACGCGCACAAGATATTATCCAAGCGTGGGCAGACCCAGGCATTAACATGCCTGAGGACACGATAGCTGTCTCGATAGGCTAACAAGCACAGACATATACAGAATAGCTTACATCTAGATCTGCGAACTAGAGCTGTATTATTTTATTTGCTTCATTGCTTGATTAGGTATGTATCCACATTGCCTGTTAGTTAAGGTTACAGGAGACCCTACGCGCAGGTTTCGGGAGATTTACCATTACTCGGCGAATTTTTATCCAATTTCTCTCAAATTTTCTCCAAATATAGTCCGATAGATGAAAAAAAACATAGGGTTATAAAATATATCAGAAAGAAATAACTTTCCCGAATATTGTTACAAGTTTAAGTTTATGGGACCTTCGCACGGCGAGCTACGTTAGATGTAGGTTTCACTAAAATCCTGTCAATCTATCATTTTTACTCTTCTCGAGTATTGCACTAAAAAAGGGTGTTCGCATTTTATCGTTGCTTCAGGGGTTACATAGCTAAGACATGTTCTTTCCCGACCTGTGTTATATTGCACCGAATGCACGAAAAAGGTCTGTAATTTTGCAACTAAAGGCTTGTAAAACTCGCGCGAACACCCTTTTGTAGCCAAGACATACACCTACAGTGTGTGCAAATTTCAGAACGATTGGTTAAAACGCACGACTAACCAAGCTTTTTTAGTGCGTGTTTACGACTCAAAATTAATGTATCTGATAATTGACTTTAAACATTTCGCGGGGTTTTTTGAAGTTCTGTCTATTTTTCCCCACTAATTAATTCAATTGTTGTTAACCAATTACAACGCGTGTGGCAAGTGATGTTCCGTATAAATTATGGCAAGCGATGTATTTTATGTAAACTTCCGTATAAATTATACTGTAAAACTTTTGTCAAGCAAGTCACAGAAGTCACTATAAAACTACTAGTCATGCCTCCAAAGCGAAAACGCAAGGCTGAGCCTGTGTCCATAAATAAAGATAAACCCGCGACGAAAAAGCGACGAAAGACCAGGAAGAAATGCCCTTCAAAAGTAGATAGTTTTACTGAAGCAGATCGTGATGTGGACTACAAACAAATATTGCTCTCAACGATGAGAGATGAAGGGTATGTTGTTTCGCTTTGTTCTTTTCTTGTTCGATTTGAACATAATATTTTTAGCAGTTCCGAGTTCGTTTACATACACAGCATTTAATACAGCAACATATTTTTTACTAGTTATGACGGAACACATTTCTTCAGTCAACTTGAAATTGGCGTCGAAGATCGACTCAAGAAGCGGGGTAAACCTCCTAGAATGGCACGATATTTCTTCTATTGTGGATGGGCACACGCACTGATTGTAAGTATTAAAGAAGATTTCATAGTTGAATCTTTAGTTACCAAGCGTGCATGGTCTTCACGCAACAAAATTTTTGCTTGATTCTAGAAAAATGGAGTTGGTCCTGATAATAGCGAATATGCTTTTCCAAGAGAAGTCCTACAATTCCTGAGATACATCGCACCAGGTGATATCAAGGGAGAGATAAGAGAAGTGAGTTTTTCTGACTTTTGTTTCCAGTTTGGGTTGGAAAAGTTGCCAATATTTATGCATGCATGGGCCATCAACCATGTCTTTTACACAAAATATTATAAAATGCTTATACCTATCTCTTTCCCAATTTTTATATTAACATTTATACATGGAGACTTGGTCTGAAAATATGAATGACATGAATATGTTTACACTTTTCAAAATTAATGTTTTTTTACAAAAGAACATAGTGTTTGCAATTCATAATT